TAAATGCGTTCTTATCTTGCTCTAGTGTCCTCAACAAAAACTCTGGCTCATCTGCCTAACATGATTGAAGTCTGTCTCAATAATATTAATCATTGATAGACGTTTCACAGATGAGATTGCTGCGGCATTCATAGTTCATCTGCAATCTTCCACACATCCTGAACAAAAAAAGCTGGTTTGGAAGTAGAAAAAGTAGACAAAATTTTTCTAAAAATAGTGAAGGGATGTAGAAAAGAGTAGTAGAGGACATTTCTTTCCTTTTAAGAGAAAGTTTTTGCATATTAAAAAGAAAAAGAACCTGGAAGGTGTGGATTGCATTTAACCAAGATACCGATGTAATCCTCGTGTCTTCCATCTGAGCACAATCACAGTGATACTAGTACCTATATCATAGCTACTTCTGTTACCGCGGACTCCCAACAACAAGTAGACATGAAACAGAAGCATAAATCTCATGAAGGGCTGCACAAACTCCAAAAGTTCTTTACTCCTTATGACCGCCAGAGGCCCATAGATGGTGACAAGCCCTCCACCTCCCTACACAATTTGTGCTGCCTAGCCCTTACAGCAAGCCATTTTCTCCTCGGTGTCCATCTACCAGCAGACCTGCCAATCCAAACCACAGGAAGACTAAGCCACTACTGTATCAGAAAGTAAGCAATATTAATACCTCAAGCTTTGATTAAAAAAAGAACTGGGCTCATTCTGATCAGGCCATCTCAAACACTACCCTCAATACTCATATCCTACACTGCATACAGACATGAAGGCTATGAAACATCAATTTAAATAATAAACAACTGAAATGGGAGATAGAATCAACCACAGTGAGTACAAAATGGAGGAATTTACATCACCTCACAATGAGCTAGTATATGCAAATAACATGGTGAGCGATGATCTACAATGCATGAAATCTAAATTTGCAGATTTGGAGAATAGATCACAATGTAACAATAAGTTTTATGGGAATACCAAAGTCCATGGCTCCTACAGAGCTGAAAAAAGTGCATATAGCAAGTGATAATTCGAAAGGACATTTTGTTTGCTTTTAACATTCCATTTTGGAGCAAATGGACTTTATCAAATGAAAACCACCATGCACAATGCTCGAAAATTTATTAATTCAAGAAACAAATTTCCATTCTGCGCTTTTGAATTTTCTCATCACTGCAGTCACAAACAAATGTTGATTTGACACCACTAATGATTAGAAAAACAAATGAATGTTTCAGCAAATATGAAAAATGTTTACAATCTGAAAGATAAGGAAACAGTTCAAACTGATGCTGCCTCCATTAGGAATCTATTTACTTCGCCTAGTTCTCTCCTATACTCCAGTAACTACGAACCATTGCTGTCACAAGTCAAAAGCGACCTTAACTATTTATGCAAATTTGAACTATCATGGTCTGGTAGATTTGCCTTCATAATGTAAGTGGTCCCAGTGGTTTAATATGAACTGTTAGACAGTATTTTATCAAATTATCCTTTTCTATAAATGCTTTATTTTGCAATTAGAAACATTGAACTGTCATTTTTACTATTTTGACCAATCTTCCAGCAATGCCAGATCATGTTCTATGTGTAGCACCCTCCTAGTAGCTAGGGGGAGCTAGTTAATTATTTTGTTTAGTTAGAAGGGTTGAGTAGCAGCCTGGGGAAGTAGTTAGAGGGGTTAAACTTGGGTCAGGGCTGAGAGGCTCTGCAAATTATTATTACTATTATTATACAGGATTTATACAGCGCCAACAGTTTGCGCAGCGCTTTACAATATAAGGGAGACAGTACAATTACAATACATTTCAGAGCTTACAATCTAAAGGAAGGGGGAGGTGATACAAAAGGTGACAGCTGCGGGCGATGATCTGGCGGAGGTGATTCAAGTACAGTTCTTAGGTGGAGGTGGGGTAGGCTTCCCTGAAGAAGTGAGTTTTCAAAGATCGCCTAAAGGCAGACAGGGTGGGGGCTGACCGGACACGCTGTGGTAGGGAGTTCCAGAGGATGGGAGAGGCTCTGGAGAAGTCCCGGAGGCGAGCGTGGGAGGAGGTGATGAGGGAGCTAGAGAGGAGAATATCATGGGAGGAGCGGAGTGGGCGATTTGGGCGGTATCTGTGGATGAGGTTGGTGATGTAGCTAGGGGCAGTGTTGTGGATGGCTTTGTAAGCTGTGGTTAGTATTTTGAATTTTATAATTTGGTTTAGTGGAAGCCAGTGGAGGGATTGGCAGAGAGGGGCAGCAGTCGCTGATCGGTTAAGGTAAGTATTTATAATAAAGCGCCAAAATGTATGCGTGTATGTCTAGCAGCAGCATTCATAATAGACTGAAGGGGGGATAGCCTGTGTAACGGTAGATCAGTGAGGAGGGAGTTGCAGTAATCGAGGTGGGATATAACCAAGGCGTGGATAAGTTGTTTTGTGGTGTCATTGGTCAGGAAGGGGCGGATTTTGGAAATGTTCCAGAGGTTGAGGTGGCAGGATTTAGCCAGTGAGTGGATGTGGGGCCCAAAGGAGAGGTCAGAGTCTAGGATTATGCCTAGCACCCTGGCATGAGGGGAAGGACCAATGGTTGTGCTGTTGATCTTAATGGTAAAGTTGTGAGTGGGGGATCGGAGAGGAGGAAATATTACAAGCTCAGTTTTTGAAAGATTGAATTTAAGGTAGTGATGTGACATCCATGCTGATATGTCGCTTAGTAGATTTGTGATACATGAGGAGATTGAGGGGGTGAGCTGGGGAGTGAAGAGATAGATCTGGGTGTCATCAGCATAGAGGTGGTATTGGAAGCCATGGGTTATCAGTTGGCCCAGGGAGGAGGTATAGAGAGAGAAAAGGAGGGGCCCAAGAACAGAACCTTGGGGTACCCCAACAGAAAGAGGAAGCAGAGCAGAGGAGGAGGAGTTGTATGTGACACTTAAAGTGCACTGAGAAAGGTAAGAGGAGAACCAGGAGAGAGCAGAGTCACGGAGGCCGATGGAGTGGAGTTTACTGAGGAGGAGCGGGTGGTCGACTGTGTCAAAGACAGCGGAAAGGTCAAGGAGTATGAGTATGGAGTAATGGACGTTGGTTTTCGCAGTTAGTAGGTCATTAGTGAGTTTTAGTAGAGCAGTTTCTGTGGAATGTTGTGGGCGGAAGCCAGACTGTCGGGGATCAAGACGGTTGTTGTCAGTGAGGTAGCAGTTCATACGGTTGTGAACAACGCGCTTGAGAAGCTTGAAACCTTCAGTTATATCACTTACAAATAGATTAAGTAGAACAGGACCTAGTACAGAACCTTGTGGTACACCACTAGCGACTGGTCTCTATTTTGAATGAACCCCATTTACAACCACACTCCGGTATCTATCCTTTAGCCAGCTGAGTATCCACTGAATCTCCCAAGAGTTAAGTCCTAGCTTGTACAACTTTTATATAAGATCATTATGTGCAACTACTGTATATCAGATTCTATGCTGAAATCAAGCTAGGCTATGTGCATTGCACAGTCCAAAACATCTGTGATGTAATAAAGAATTGAATCAGATTAATCTGAGATGAATTGACCTCAGTAAAGCAATGCTGCTTTGAGTCCAACAATTTGTGTATTTTTAAGTGATTATTGATTTTTCTTTATAGGAGAAATTCTTTTAATTTTACCGCTGCAGTTGCTAAACTCACATTCTTGTAGTTGCCAGCTTCTTCCTTACTACTCCTATAGTAGATAGGTACAATATTAGCTGTCTGCCAGCCATGAGAAACGTCTCCTGTTAGAACAGATTGATTAAAAAGATCAGTTATTGTTCCAACAAATATACTGCAAAGTATCTTAGAACTCTGGGATAGTTACCATCAGGACTCCTTGCTTATTAGGCTTTGGGTCCTGATGGCATTCATCCCTGAGCTCTAATGCTGTAGTGTTGGGAGAAGGAGCAGCTGGCAGAAATCTCCTGTATAGGCTGTGAAGTGTATGAAAACAATGGCTATTGTTTCAACAGGAACAGTTGTTATTCCCCCATGATGTATAGGATGGGAGCAGGGGCGGACTGACAACTCATGGGGCCCCCCGGGCAATAGGGGATCATGGGGCCCTGTGTCCTTGCCCGAACTCAAAAAAGCCTAGAAAAAGGTAATGGGCATCTCATGGGGCCCCCTACTGACCCCTGGCCCCCGGGCAGTGCCCGAGTTTCCAAATGATCAGTCCGCAATGCTGCTTTGAGTCCAATAAGTTGTGTATTTTTAAGTGATTATTGATTTTTCTTTATAGTAGAAATTATTTTAATTTTACCGCTGCAATTGCTAAACTCACATTCTTGTAGTTGCCAGCTTCTTCCTTACTACTCTTATAGTAGATAGGTACAATATTAGCTGTCTGCCAGCCATGAGAAACTTCTCCTGTTAGAACAGATTGATTAAAAAGATCAGTTATTGGTCCAAACTAAGAGAACAGTTAGACATGCAGGCACGAAGAACTGCTTTCAGGCTGTTGAGACAGAAGGCAGACATGTACGTTAGAGGAATGACTTGCCACAGCTTGCACTTCAATAAAACAAGAACTAGTGTACGAAGACTGCTATAGGTAACAAGTCCTTCTAAAATGTTAGTGGCCTGATTGTAATTCACTGGCTTTAATATTTATTTTAATTACATACATTGGACAAGTGTACAAATCAGGAGTTCTAAACTTACTGTAACTTTTTTGTTTCATACTTGTTCTGAGTCATTGGGGTAAATTCACTAAAGGTTACCGCATGCAATAACACTGTCATGTGACTCATTTGCATAAATTATCGCATGCGGTAACAAAATGTCCAATTCACACACAAAAAAAGACGATTCTGCAGTATTTAGCGCAAAATTAACCCCTTGGCGCTGGCGCCTCCCGGCCCTTTAAGGGTTTCAGAAGCCAGGAGGCAGGGCAGGGTTTTAAGGTCATGTGACTGCCGTGATTTGCTGTCACGGCAGTCACATAATCAAGAAAGGTCCTGATCGAAAGAGGAGATCGGGACCTTTCTGTGAGTACCGGACATGTGTGCTGGGAGCGTGCAGGGCAGGAGTGGACTGACCATTTGGAAACTCGGGCACTGCCCGAGGGCCCGGGGTCAGTAGGGGGCCCCATGAGATGCCCCTGGTACCCTTTTCATAGGCTTTTTTGAGTTTGGGCAAGGAGACAGGGGCCCCATGATCCCCTATTGCCCGGGGGCCCCATGAGTTGTCAGTCCGCCCCTGGTGCAGGGTGCGTGCTCTCAGCACATATGTTTTTCTTAATTGCACACAAATGTGCGGCCACTCGGCGTCAAGGCCCAGATTCCAGGAAGCCGCAAATTTGCATGCGGCCGGCGCAAAGAGGTTAAAAATGTGTCGGCAAATACCACAAAAAAAACCATGCGGTAAGCTGTTAAGTCCAATTCACAAACAGAACAGAAAGTAAAAAAAAGAGATGTGATATTTATCACCAGGGTTTTGCTAGCGGTATCACATGCGGCAGTGGGGGGGGGGTCCCCCACAACCCCTAGGGGTCTGGTATGGATATTAAGAGGAGCCCCGCACGAAAATGTAGGGGAAAGTGAGGGGACCTGCATGACATTTTTTTTGTTTATTTTGGTGTGGGGTTCCCCCAAAATCTATACCAGACCTAAAGGCCATTTTTTTTCTCAATTTTGATGTTGTGTTTCCCTTAAAATCCAAACCAGATCCAAAGGGCCTGGTAAGGATGGTGGAGAGGTAGTTCCACACGGTTTATTTCATTATTTGTAATTGCTGCCATGTTTTGTTTTTACATTCAGCTGTCAGTGGGACACTCCGCGGTTGGCTTCCTTAACAACCAGCTACCATGCGATAAATTACTGCATACAAATATGCATTAATTATCGCAATACAGACATTTTACCGCAAGAGTTATTCTTAGTGAATTGCATATTTTAAAAAAATGTACCCGCATGCATAATTTTACCACATTTTTTCACTCATTATTTAACTCTTAGTGAATTGACCCCTTTGTCTTAGAGTATTAAAAACAGAAACAGCCAGGAAACTGACATTTTCAAGGCGCCTTGTCCACCCCACCCCTTCCTCCACAGGTCTTATGCTCACCTGTCCCCAACCAGTCAACATCTTGACTTCCACTGCATCAGAATCTTCTCCACTGGACCTGTGGATACATACCACAAGCTTCAATTAATCTTATGAAAAGATAGGAGGATATCCAGAGTCAAGAAGCTAACATCCCTGTGATCAGTAAAATATTAGTATAGAAGAGACTTAAAATCTAAGTGTTACTGCACTGTAAAAGCAGTTTCACTTTAAAACCTTTGGAGAGGGGAGTGGGCAGAAGAAGGAAGACCAGGATGATGAACCGACTTACCTGCAAGGTAATATTGATGTTGAATAATGTTTTCTAACCAGATCTCATACAGAAACACTTTAACCTTTTTCTCTCAAAACCCCTTTGAGACCCTGAGCATTTTTTTCATTTTGATGATGTCTCAGTTCTGCACATTATACCGTTTAGCATTTGCAGTCTGCCCTGATGTACATTATAATTTTTTTTTTTTGGAATAGATAGGGGTTTAATTTGGTAGAAAATCTGAATACATTTACTTTTATTTCCTTGTTTTTTTTAATGGGAATAAATAGTAAAAAACATTTTAATAAAATGCATTTTCCTGTAATTTTTCCCAATGCAACGTTTACATATTTTGCACACAACCATATGGTTATAGTCAATAAAGTCTGAATAAAATGATATTACATTAACCGCTAGCCTACAGGGCACTTATACCGCCTTCCTGCCCAGGCCAATTTCCAGCTTTCAGCGCTGTTGCATTTTGAATGACAATTGCGCGGTCAAACAACACTGTACCCATATGACATTTTTATCATTTTTTTGTGACAGATAGAGCTTTATTTATTTAATCACCTCTGGGTTTTTTATTTTTTCTTAAACAAACCAAAAACCACTGAAAATTTTGAAAAAAAATGTTTTTTCTTAGTTTTTGTTATACAATTTTGTAAATAAGTGATTTTTCTCCTTCACTGATGTGCGCTAATGAGGCTGCACTGATGGGCACTAATAGGCTGCACTGATGGACACTGATGGGCACTGATGAGGAGGCACTGGTAAGTGGCACTGATGGGCATTGACAGGCATCACTGATGGGCACTGAAAGGCAGCACTAATACATGGCACTGATATATGGCACTGATAGGCAGCACAGATAGGCGGCACTGACTGGCACGGATAGGCGGCACTGACTGGCACGGATAGGCGGCACTGGCACTGATGGCACTGATAGGCGGCACTGATGCACACTGATAGGCAGCACTGATAGGTGGCAGTGATTGGCATTGATAGGTATCACTGACTGGCACTGATGGGTGACACTGAAAGGCAGCTCAGATGGGCACTGATATGTGGCATTGATGTGCACTGGTAGGCACTGATATGTGGCACTGATGTAGCACTAATGGACTCTGGCACAAGGCACTGATGAGCACTGACGGACACTGACAGGTGGCACTGCTGGGGCTACACTGATCATCAGGGCACACTGATCATCAGTGCCCATGTCCTCTCCGCAGAAAGCCGATTACCGGCTCTCCTCTCGAGCTGTCAGCGTGATAACCGGCATTTCCCTGTTTACATTTGATCAGCTGTGATTGGACAAAGCTGATCACATGACCGAGCTGACATCTTCGGCTCTTTCCATGATCGGTGATCCGCTGTGTCCAAGGGACACAGAGCACCGCAAAGCACCACAGATCACCGCGCTGTGCACTCCCTGAGCCGCGCATGCGCAGTGAGAATGCGAGGACAACATATGACGTCCTCCCAGAACGAGAGAACCACCTTGTGCCCGTCATATTTCTATATGACGGGCAGGAGGTGGTTAAAGCTCAAGTGGAACATTTGTTTTGTTTTACTTTAGAATAGCTGTATTCCCCTTTCAATGCTAGATTGTGATGCAAAAGGGAGAAATAAAAAACAGTCACATTAATTATTAGTGTAAATTAACATAATATTAGGTAACAAATTAGCACACCGGTTACTTTTTCACTGGTCTTCATTCACTAGGAATTCAAATTGGCCTTCAGAAACTTGTACATTGTTGCGACGCAACCTGGGGATTAATCTGGAGGCGAATATTTTTTTTTTTCTATGTACACACTCTTTTTGTTCAGGGGGGGTTTTAGATCTGATCAATAGGGACCTTACCCAGACCCTCATGCAGCTGTGCAGCAGCAGATTACTTCTAATACTGTGATATTACTAGCTGCAATTAAAATAAAAAATATTGGTGGATCTGAATGCAAAAAGTTGCTATCTTGAAGGTAGCATCTAGAGAAGTTAATTGGACCTAGGCAGTACCCTGAAAATGTAAATTTTGCTTGGAATTTCTTCTGAAACATAGCAGTACACTTTCTAGGAGGTCAGTGTGCCTAGGCACTCCTGTACCTACAGCCTTCCAGCTCTATGTCTGAAATATGAGATCTAAGGCACTGTTGCTTCTGACTTCTAATCATATGAGATTTTAGGTGAGATTTGATGTCAGCACTGTGCTGCCCAGTGTTCTTCTTGCTGGAGGCTCTGATTTGAGGGGGTAAAGCTCTGTCTCTACCAATATGGCCATATGCACACGCTTAATCAGAGCAGAACAAGGCATGGTAAGTCAGTAAAGGGAGAAGACCAGCTGCAAGGAGACCACAGGCAATACTGGTTATTTGACCTTCCTGTTTAACCCTCTGGTCATAAGACTTCAGCACCCTGGTAGTATGTACGTCAACATTCCAGTGCCTTCATTTAAAAGAGAAGTGACATGATTTCCTCACTTTGAAAGAAACCTCCAATACTCTTGCATGTAAAGCTAAACGCCGGGGAAAAAAACAATTTTGAGGCCAGTTACAGTATAAGAATACATTGTCTCTAATTGTTGGTGTCCCATGTATGGCTGCTTCTATTCAGTAAAACGGATACTTTCCTTCAGCCCCCACAGTACTGTAAGTGTTGAAAATCTGTTGTTTCAGCTGCAATACACCAATCACAGCAGTTCACTTGTTTTATACCTCTTCCATTCAGACTCATAGGGGTTGATTTACTAAAGGCAAACAGACTGTGCACTTTGCAATTGCAGTTGCTCCAGAGCTTAGTAAATCGGGTAAAGCTTCACTTTGCAAGAATACCCAATCACATGCAAGGAAAAAAAAAAACAGCATTTTTGCTGGCACATGATTAGATAATTGAAATCAGCAGAACCCCCCCCCCCCCCCCCAATTTACTAAGCTCTGGAGCAACTGCACCTGCATGGCACACAGTCTATTTGCCTTATGTAAATCAACCCCATAGTCTCTTAGGTGGATCACTAAAAAGATGGTATTACCAGAGATTTGTATTTTACATATTGGAGCTTATTTACAGAGTTAATAGTGCTCTCCACACCTGGCTAACTAATCTTCCCTATAGAACATGGTCAGAGAATGTACACTGCTCAAAAAAATTAAAGGAACACTTTAATTCAGTATTTTACTATGATGAAGTTACTTTTTTATTATCTCATGCAATATTTCCGAGTAATGGGTGACCTTCATATTGCATGCAAAATCCTTTAATTAATTGACCCCAAAGTGTGGTAACTGTTTGTGGGCTCTCCCCTGCAAGGGTTAAATGCTTACTTTTGCTTAGTTTACCTTTAAAAAAAGACGTTTTACTTACCTTATCCCTGAAACCCCTGGCAGCTAGAGCTTTCCACTTCCCCCTGATGCTCCAATATGCGGGTGAGCCATCAGTGTCCTGGTCCTTCATTGTACGCAGTTAGAGTGCGACTGATGGACAAAGAGAAGAGGCTTCAGGGGACTAGTCATGGAGAGGAAGAAGGCTGAGAGATAAGGTAGGGGATCTCCACTGCAATGGTAGTTTTTAAACATTCCCAAAGTTAAACTTTAAGGCCATGTTTCTCAAGTAATGGGTTGCAACCCAAAAGTGGGTTGCAAACAGGGGCGGACTAGGTTGTGGAGCAAGTGCCTCCCAGGCCTCTCTAATTCCCCAATAAAATGTCTCATGCCCTGACAACATTGCTTAATAAAAAACATCCAGGACCGCAGAAGAGTTGCTGCACCATAGGCCTATGTGTGGTATTCGCACCCCAGGTCAAAAAGTTTTTTTTTTTTTTTTTTTTTTTTTTTTTTTTTTAGGGGATTTAGGGGGCCCTTCATAGATTCTTGTACTTGAGTCCTGGGGTT